GATTGCTGGAACATGTATAATGTTGATCCCTAAGTTATGCTGTGGTTAATTTGTAGAACCGCACTTTAGGATCATTGATTATCAGTGACAACATAATGTGGAAACCCTACATTGTGCTTGTACATGAGTATGCCCCAAGTTTTGTTGCTTTGAACTGAAAAATGGTAATGTAGGGTACAGTCTGTTAGTTAGCACTTAGCAGCTTTTGCTTATAAAGCGCCAGATTATCACAGCTTGTAAGTTGCTTATAAAGCGCCAGATTAGCACTTAGCAGATTACCTTGTACAGTAGCGTAAAATTAGGTATAGAACCAACATTTGAGCACTAGTCCATCGCCTGGGGCGATTCACTGCTTTTGCTTGCTAAGGCTTGCTTTCAAGTTATCATTGAAGATGAACGATATAGTTATCGTGTCACTTCTATTATCTTCAGAAAGAAGGAGCTGCCTTCATTTGCTTGAATATTTCGGAGTTCTACTTATGATTATTAGATATGTGTCTGTAACAGGGCATCAGTAGACAGCACAGAGGATGGAAAGTGGGAACTCGCCGTGTGAAACTGTGCGCTCTTGAGGGCTCATCTTTGAATTACAAATCATATTTTTAAAGTTTACAAAATATATGAAAGCATACACAAGTACTTAAGGCTGTATTCTACATGTGTGTAAAGTTTCATGATGAGATACTTGAAGAGTTGAGCTCCACAACAACAAAAAACAAATTCATGTGTAAATATCTTTGGCCTCTTTTTTTTATTGTTCAATTTTTCAAGGAAAACCCCGCTAAGGGCATCTTCAGTGCGGACCCTCAAAACGCCAGCAATTGTTCGGACCGAGGGGCCCATTGACCCCACAGGGCCTCTCCATGTGGGTGGGCCCTTGGTCGCCTGGCTTGGCCACGTGGGGGCCTGGGATGACCCCCTGGCCTCTCCCGGCATTTTTCTAGAATCTTCACAACTTGGAAAAATCATATTAAATCCCCGGTATATTTTGACCTTTGTAGATATGGATTTTTTGAAAAGTCAAAAATATGTAGAAAACAACAATACGCTTTGAGCACTAAATTAATGGGTTAGTCCAAAAAAATTGCTATAAAAAGTATTCAAAAGTGATATTATAATAGCATGAAATAATAAAAAATTATAGATGCGTTCGAGACAAATCAAATATACTTTATCATCGAGAGGTCGGATCCGAACCTCTTACACTAGCTCCGGCACCCCTCATATCCTCGATTCCCTCCGCTCGAAGTTAGCTGCGGAGGCCAGACGTCACCGGCAGGAGATGGAGGCGCAGCAGGCCGCGAAGGAGGCAGAGATGCTCTCCTACATGGATGAGGTCGAGCAGGAGAAGGATGAGCCGGAGCCGTCCTACCCGCCCGTCCAGCCGGCGTCCGACACCGTTGTCGTGGACATCTTCGATGATGAAGATTAGCTAGGATAGCACGTAGTATGTAGTACGTATGATTTTTTTGATATAAAGGTTAAAATATGAAAGACTCTAATGCAGACTAGCTATAAGGCTTTAATGCAGACTAGCTAATTTGAGGCGTGACAGAGGGCGTTTGGCCGGAGATGCTCCAACAGTGTTCTTGTTTACCCTTTCCTCAATCCGTCATCCCTACTCGTTGCTGCTTCTATTTTCCCATCCCCAACAAAGGTTGAGAATCGAAACGCAAGACGGCACTCCGGTTGTTGACCCCGCCGCCCGAGCTTGCTGCTGCACAGCCATCGCCGCCGCCGCCGGTCTCCCTTGTCCTGCTCACCGCTGCTCACGCCCCTCAGGTATCCCACCGTGGATCTCACTCATCTTCCGTTGATCCAATCCCCTTCCGTTTAGATCCTCGGAATAGGTAGCTGATTTGGTGCGCGCGTTGGGTGGAAACAGAGAGTGAGTTCCAAGAGTTCATAGCAGAGCAGTCCCACTGAACCCTCTTTCTTCTGCCTCGTGATTAGGCAGGCCTTCAATCCTACCATGTGTTTATCAGCCACTTTTCTTCTTCTTCTTCTTCTTCTTCTTCTGCTTCTTATCCATATCTTATCAAATACTGCCTCCATTTCTAAATATAAGCCCTCTTAGAGATTTCAATACGGACTACATACAGATGTATATAGACATATTTTGGAGCGTAGATTAACTCATGTTGCTCCGTATGTAGTCCATATTTGGAATCTCTAAAAGGTCTTATATTTAGGAACGGAGGGAGCATATATCACACTGCTCATTAAGCAATTGGCTGCAGCTCAAGCACTGCCCTGTTTAGTCTTTTCTTTCTTTTGGAAGGAGGGAGCTTTGTACATCACAAAGTTATCTTCTTACAATCTCTCTCTTAGCAGTAATATCCAACACACGCAACCTGATGATTAGCCCCTCTCTTGATATGTTGGATTTTCACATCGACAGTTGAGGCATTGTTTGCACCTGTATTGTTGAGGCCTTGTATGCATGTACATCAGTGGATGCTGTTTAGCTGTTTGGGCTATATTCTGGTGCATCTACACAGTGACTTCTACAATATCATTTTTATCCTACTACTCAAACTAGATTTTTCTTGTCTCATGTTTTCCCCTCTTATCTGTTATCCCTGGTCAGAAGACAATTCAAATGGAAACCAATGGGTTATCTATCAAGAGTCAGGAAACCGGGTCAAAAAGAAAGTGGGAGACTAATGCAGACCTCAGCCGCCGCTTTTGCACTAGCCAACATGAAAGTCCATGGGAAGGCGGTGCAGCGAAGCACATCACATGCCATTCCTCTGAGTACCAAGGCCAGTCTTCGCAAGAGTGTCCACCATGGAATTATGGTTCGCTCACTACCTTGCCAGGGAAGCAAAAAGATTTCCGCTTTTGCAGTAACCAACATAAAAGTCCATGGGAAGGCGGCACAACAGAGCACATCGCATGGCATTCCTCTTGGTACCGAGGCCACTCTTCACAAGAGTGGCCTACACGGAATGGTGCTTCACTCACCCCCTCGCTAGGGAGGCAAAATGATTTCCGCTTTTGCAGTAACCAACATACAAGTCCATGGGAAGGCGGCACAACAGAGCACATCGCATGCCATCCCTCTTGGTACCAAGGCCACTCTTCACAAGAGTGGCCTACACGGAATGGTGGTTCACTCACCCCCTCACCAGAGAGGAATGATTTCCATGTTTCAGGAGGTCAGTTCTTTCTGACATTCAACCCATACGAACAAGATGTAGAAAGTAGGTACCTTCAGGACAAAAAGAACGGGGTAATCACTTGTTTGGTCTGTGGCAAGGAAGGACATTACAGTAGTAAGTGCCGTTTCAAGGATCAAGAGCACAGAATCATTTGCACAGTCTGTGGCAAAAATGGCCACTGTAGCATGTGGTGTTGCCAGCAGAACAAGTCGGAGAATCGAGCTTGCACCCGCTGTGGAGAGATAGGGCATAGTACCAGTACACATGGTCTCAGTTGCTCAAGCTGCGACGAGCATCATGACGATGGAGAGTGCCGATTGAGCGAAGTTAAATGCTTTATTTGTGAATGTCAGGATCATTATCTTGCTCAGTGCCCCTTGAATTCAGTATTGACTGAGGCAGTTAAGGGTCAGAGAGACAACTTCCAAGCTGCTCTGCGGCTTGCACTATCAAAACAAGGCAACCCATCATCTACACCTGCCAAGTGTTCTGCAAAATCAGAAGGAAAAGTACTGACCGCCAACAACTCTAGTCCAATAGTCACCGCATACAACGCAAGCACAACAATATGCTTTACATGCCGTGAAGAAGGTCACTTTGCTTTTCAGTGTCCTCAGAACAGCCCCGGCCTGTGCATAGTATTTGAAGAGAGCGGCACTATAGCTACATCCGCCAACCTGTCCAAAAAATTAGAAGAATGGGACCCTGATACTGGTACTGCTAAACAATCATCAGAAATGAAGCCGATATTATACGATCGATGTTGCCCCTCAAAAGCAAAAGTACTGCCCCCCAACAAGTCTAGTCCAATGGTTAGAACATGTAAAACAAAAACAAAAGGGAAGAAAAAGATGTGCTATACATGCCGGGAAGAAGGCCACTATGCCCGTATGTGTCCGCAGAGGTTCGGAGCTATATCTGGCAACACGTCAAAAGAACTAGAAGAGAGCAGCACTATACCTACATCCTCAAACATGTCCAAAGTATTGGAAGAACAGGACCCTGGTACTGCTAAACAGTCATCAGAAATGAAGCCGGCATCGATTGTTCAATGTGTTAGCTGTGGTCAGGAAGGGCACAGGGCCAGGAGCTGTCCAACAGTGGTGTTTACATGTTACAAATGCAATGAAGAAGGCCACACAGCCAATGATTGCCGTCAGAACCAATCATCAGAAATGAAGCCGGCATCAGTTGTTCGATGTGTTAGCTGTGGTCAGGAAGGGCACAGGGCCAAAAGATGTCCAACAGTGGTGTTTACATGCTACAAATGCAATGAAGAAGGCCACTCAGCCAAGAATTGCCCTCAGAACCAATCATCAGAAATGAAGCCTAAATCGAATGTCTACTGTGTTAGTTGTGGTCAGGAAGGGCACATGGCCAAGAGGTGTCCAACACGAGTGTTTACATGCTTCAGATGCAATGAAGAAGGCCACATAGCCAAGAATTGCCCTCAGAAGCGTTAAGACTGCCACGCCGAGAGCTGTCGGTAAAGCAAACAGTGCCACACACTATACACGCCGTTACATATTCAATCACGCCGAGAAGCAGCTGGTGAAGAGATTTTGACACTGAGATACGACCAAGGAAGCTCGCAAAGTTACTCACTGAGCTGAGCCAGACCTCCACCTTTGACCAAGAAGTTGTTGCAGAGTTACTAGCTTTTTCTTGTGATATTCTAGCTGTTGAAAGTTTTCAAGGATATGGGTCTACTTATGATATGTGTTTTAGAATGTCCTTTTCTATGAAGTTGGTGGTGCCAATTGAAGATCTGATGAAAAGACATTCCCAAGACTGCGTTCACAACTGCCGGACTGTGCAAGTTACTGGCATGTTCCTTGGTTTAATAAATGCTTATCCATACTAAATGAACTTGATGAAGTGTAAGGAATACATCTGGGTAAGTTGCGGCAATATTCTGTAATATCTGAAGAATGCATAGAACATCTGAGTTAGTACTGGAAAGTTCCGTAAACACCATGAGTTGGTACTGGAGAAGTTTTGGAACCATTTAAATGATGAGTTCATCATGTGTGAAGTCTGAATGATGGCAAGTTGCCTTCTTACTTCGTAGTACAAGATATGTCTGCAGAAGGAGTTGCATTGATACTTGGGAACGCCAAGATTTACCTGTTTTTTTTTGAAAGACGCGTTGATGATTTCGAAATAGTTGTAACCCTGGGGCTCTTCTGATAGAGGACCTAGTTACGTTTTTTGGCAGGAGCACAATAACAAACTTAGGCAGATGAAGTCTTAATACCAGTGCTGGCAGACTAAATGTTTACTAGTTCTGCATTAACTAATGACCTTCATTTACTGGAATTACATTCTTTGAAATGAATACTCGGCATAAGTGTTATTGGTATTAAAATACATACTGCTCTTGTCTTCTGAAAGATCCGAAAGAAGCTCTCCATTTAACCTTTACATAACCATGCATTTTGAATAATGACTTGGCTAAGAGAAAAAGTTACTCATTGTTGCTCAGTACATGGATGCTCGATTGCTGGAACATATATAATGCCGACCTTAGTTATATTGCGGTTAATTTGTCGAGCTGCACTTTACGGCCCTTGATCCGAAGTGACTACATAATGATATAATCGTAGAACTCCAATCTAATTGAAAACATGGAAATCCTACATCGTGCTTGTATATATACGAGTTATCCCAAGTTTCATTGCCTGTTTAGTCAAAGAAACATTGGTCTGAGAAATGTAGAAGTAGAGTACGGCCTGTTAGTTAGCAGCTTTTGCTCATAAACCGCCAGATTTTGACAGCTTGTAAATTGTGGCTGTTACCTTGTAATGTAATTTAGGTATAGAATGTTTCCGGAGGATGGAGTGTGTTTGAACAAGCTGAACCAACATTTGAACACATTGCCTGGGCGATTGACTGCTTTGCTTGGTATGGCTTACCTTCTCAATGCATAGCGCATTCGTAATAATTAGTTGCTGAAGAGAAAAAGTTACTCTTTCTTGCTCAATACTGTTACCTTGTAACTCAATTTAGGCACAGGGCAAATTCACCCCTGAACCACTAATCGTCTACCAAGTGAACAAAATGACATTATTTTTCAAGAAAAAACAATAGATATGCTAACTCAGTGCAGCTACGCTACCAAAAAAAAAAGATGCATTGCTGAATGGTAAACCACAGCTTCACAAAGGCTCAACCAGAGCACCATCCTTTTCTGAAGAACAAAACGAGACCGCACTGCAGTTCGATATGAAGAAGAAATTATAGTTGTGCATGCACCTGTTGTTCAGTAGCTCACCAACTGGTCCATGTTACTTTCAACTGCTGTTCTCTGCTTAGTTTGCAGTATTGCAAGGACATTTGAGTCTAGTTCCCCGGTTCGCTGATCAGTCGCACCTCTATTTACAATGTTCATTTGGAACAACTTGGTTTTGCGCCTCCATTTGCAATGTTCATGTGGAACGAACTTAGTTTCATACTAGTATATTCTCATCCGTGTTCTCTTGACAGGATACAATCAAATGCAAACCTTCCCAGGAAAAAAATATGCAAGGAATCTACAGGACCCCTTTAGGAACAGCAACAGCAAACCATGCCATAAATATTTATACGCATCTTACATGCATTGCAGCAATGATGAACTATCGCGATTGGTTCCATGTTGCTGTATACTTGTGCCAAGTGCAGTTATCTCTAAATCTCTAATGATGTTTTGCCCTTATTGTTTTTATCATCCAGTTCAAGGCACGGCGTCATTGGGTTTGAGGTATGAGTGGACCTGGCCGTTGGGATGCGCACCATGGATGATTCAATGGCTCCACCATGGATACTCGATTGCTGGAACATATATAATGTTGATCCCTAGTTATATTGCGGTTAATTTGTCGAGCTGCACCTTACGGCCCTTGATCCGAAGTGACTACATAATGATATAATCATAGAACTCCAATCTAACTGAAAACATGGAAATCCTACATTGTGCTTGTATATACGAGTTATCCCAAGTTCCATTGCCTGTTTAGTCAAAGAAGTTTGAATATTGGTCTGAGAAATGTAGTAGAGTACAGCCTGTTAGTTAGCAGCTTTTGATTATAAACCGCCAGATTTTGACAGCTTTGTAAATTATGGCTGTTACCTTGTAATGTAATTTAGGTATAGAATGTTTCCGGAGGATGGAGTGTGTTTGAACAAGCTGAACCAACATTTGAACACATTGCCTGGGCAAACTAGGTGTGTCGACTACTTTGAAATGTTCGACACTGATCCGTATCTATGGATCGCGGTAGCGGTGATGTAGTTTGCGGGAGCAGCATCACGCTGGCTTTCCTCTGTTCAACATAAGTTCGTTAGAGCATCACGGGAGGATTTCTGTCCTCCTGTGCTTCATCGCTTTGGGCGAAATCAACATCGTCTTCAGTAGACTGGATCTGTCGAAGAATACATTGGACAGTTTTCTGAACTTATGGACCAGTTGACAGCCTATGATCCTGATCCTGATAGACCCAAAGTGGTCGGACCCTTTCCCGGACCCTGCGCAAGCGGGAGCTACATGCACCGGGCTGCCCTTTTTAAAATACAATGTTCGTGTGATTGTTGTTGTTCAAAGGCCCGCCGATTCAGATGCTGCGTATCCTATTGCTGTTGTGCAAGAGGAGATGGAGGAGTTTGATGCTGACTTTTATTCGCCCAATCGTCGGTCCAGTGTTACTTCTTCATCTTATTGTCAGAGCAAGAAAGCCAGCACTCGAATTCCTGGATAGCCAAAGAGAAATGACAATTTCAAGAGCAGCCCTGTTGGAGATGACAAGCTGGCAACATTGAAGGCTTACCGAAGAGCAAAGGGATTTGCTTCATCTGTGGCGAAGTGCAGTACTACTGTTCAGTTGCATATTGTCCAAGAAATTCAGTTGACAACGCTGATTGTGAGGGCAGCAATATTGAACTTAGGTTTTGTCAGCAGAGGCGGAAACAACAAATGGTGCCATTCGCGTAGATTGTCAGATAGCTGAGCATACAGTGGACTCTGGCAGTTCTCATTCCTTGGTCAGTGCTCGCTTGGCAACACACTAGTAGGACAAGAACCACTACCTAAGATGCAAAAGGTCCGTATAGCTGGTGGTGGGCATCTACTTTCACTCAAGTTATTCCTCGCTGTAAATGGACTGCGCTCAAATGATCATGAATTCCAGTATGATTTTAAGGCGCTACCTCTGCAATATTATGATGGTATTATTGTTGGAAATATGACCTAGAGGCAATAATATAGTCATTATTATATTTCCATGTTGATGGCTCTATTTTGTACGCATTTTGGGAGCTCATTTTTGTTGCATATTGTCTCCGTATATCATGTCCTACCAAGCCAATTACATGTCCATTACATAATTTGTGGTTTTTATAGTTTTCTTTGTTTATTGTGTTTATAGGTGAGAAATCATGGACGAAGGACGATGAAAAGGTCAAGATTGAGATTAAAAAAAAGGAGGACCTTCAGGTACCAGACTTGCACATTTTGGAGTGTCAAGTATGACATTTTGCAAAGTGCTCAATTTGAATATCCAACACTACAGGTGCATCGGCATCGTTTATACAAATCCAATAAGCCCGAGAACATCAAAATTTGAGTTTGTGTGAAGAAATGCCGGCAGATTCACCAAAGGAGTCCAAAGCAAAAGACAATCTTCGTGAGCGGGAAGTTGACAGCTTCAGTCCACACGAACCAACACGCCGAAGAAGCATTGTATCAGGGCACCACCGGTATGAAAACATCACCTCTCTTGCCGGCGATCGAGAGAGAGGAAAATCTGGCGTGGACCTGGCCATCGACGAATATCTGCAGTCGCAGCACCGCCGGCGCAAGCTCCTGTAAAAGCTCCAAGGCTCCACAGGGACGCCCGAGCACGCATCACCGCGGCAGCGAAGCTAGAGTAGAAAACGAACCACAAGGCAGCGGTCGCCGCCATGCCTGCCTCGATTGGAAAACCTGTTTCCAGATCCACCAACGACTTCCGCACCCAAGCCACAGGGAAGAGATCCGGAGCACCTTTATTCAGCGTCGCCGCCATAACCGTTGAAACCAAAACAACATACCACAGAAAACCTAGCCCTAACCTATCCACACGCGATGAATAAGATGAGAAGGTTCCCCCATCGCCCCGCTGCCGGAGCGGCTGACAGAGAGCGATGGCACACGAGTCGCCTCCCTTTCGCCTGTCGTGACTCGTGAGAGCA